AAAATTGATTCACATGTATCTGAGTCAGCATGATAAGCTCTTCCTCTGCTTAAAGATATGTTATATATTAATCAATAAACAACGAATTGTTATTATAAAGTTTTTGATTGTTTTAATTTTATATTTGATAAATTAATAAATGACGATCTTGTGATTTTCACAAGATTAAATATCAAATTATTATCTTGTGAATCCCGATTTTTTGGTATATTTTGTGGTTTAACAGAGTATCTTTTTGTTTTTATCAAATAAAGAGAGTCCAGATTTAGAATTGGATGATGTTCTGCTTCTTTGTAAACAGAAGAAAGAACATCTGCTGTCAAAAATGGTTTTTTTGAATTTTCTTTACTACTTTTTTGTTTGTTTTTATAACCATGAGTGTTGTAATGACTTTCACCTTCAAGGCTTTTATAAGGTCTATAATTATTTTGACTCTCTTTTTGATTCTTTCCGGGTTCTCTAGATCTACTTGGATCCCAATTTCTCTACTTTTTGGGACCGGTTTTATAATGTTTTGTGTGTCTCTGGATGTTGTGCACACGGGCTTACTTACCATTAAAGCTTTATACATACTGTTACGAACATGCATTCAGTGTGGCCCGCCTAACAGTTGCATCTCGAAGCATCTCGGTCATCGAGAATCATCGATAGATCTTTCGACCGCAAGAGAATAATCCGTCGGGTATTTGACTGAATTAGAATTAGAGGTGGGAATGTTCTAGAATATAGTAACTTTAGTATATACAAGGTGGTCCAGAATTATGTACATTAATTTTTAGAGCTCATAGTACGTCCAAAAATAAGGGTACTTCTTTATGTAGACTTTTTTATAAAACTGAATAATAAGGGAGATACAACCCTTTAAAGGGGTGAATCGAAATTCTTATTTTTTCAAATATCTTCCAAACGGTTTTGAATACGGAGTTCATATTTTGGGAGTGATTATAAGACATTATAATTATTAATTTAATGTCACCACCTACCACATCCTATATTAATACAGGGTAGTTTTGAAGGGGAAGTGGGGGTTTTTGCGTCACATGTTTTTTAATTTTTACATATTTTAAAAAAATATTTTAAAAATTGTTTCCTTAGACTTTTCTACGCAAAAAAGGTGCTCTTGTAATATTTCGATAGATATCACCGTTTTCGATTTATTTAAACTCGAAGGTATACATGTATTTTATTGTAATCGTTACATTTCTTAATATTCATCAAGTATGCTTTGGAATTGACACTTGTGTTAGCAACAACACTTTAATCTCAAACAGTCTATGAATTGTTAGTGACGTTTAAGAACAATTAAATTATTTTATCTACACTTTTATTGTACTCGACAGTAAATTTGTTTAACACGTCTCTTTTGCTATATTTTTAAATTTGTTTGCCCGCAATATGGCACACTATTCAAATTCTGAGATGACAGACATACTTTTAGTATTAGGGGAATGTTCGGGAAATGCTGCTGCTGCTGTAAAACGCTACAGAGAAAAGTATCCGAACAGAAATATTCCCAATGCCAGAACTTTTGTAAGTACTGAACGACGACTGAGAAAACAGGTTGTCTTCAAAGAAGGAATACAGATGCTGGTAGTCATAGAGAAGCAAGAATTGTTCGCGTTGAACAGCAAATATTGGATGCTGTAATAAATGACCCACAATAAGTACACGCAGGTTAGGATTAAGAACGAATATTTCCCATCAAAGTGTTTTAAGAGTTCTGCATGAAGAGCAATTACATCCTTACCACTATCGACAGGTGCAGGAATTGTTACCTGACGATTTGCCACTTAGAGTTGATTTTTGTGAAGTATTGCAAAATAAAGTTCAAACTGCACCAAATTTTTTAAGCAACATTCTGTTTACAGACAAGGCCACATTTACTAGGTATGTTCAATTCTAGAAATATGCACATCTGGGCTGAAGAAAATCCAAGGGCTACAATGGAAACTCACTTCCAACACATATTCAAGATAAACGTTTGGGCAGCTACTTTAGGAAATAGTTTCATAGGATACCACATCTTTCCCGGAAATTTAAATGGTAATATGTATTACAATTTTCTAGACAATTTTTACATGATATTTTGGAAGATATTCCATTACAAATACGAAGAAACATGTTTTTCATGCATGACGGTGCTACTGACGTTCAGGCGCACTCGCCCGGAGACGACACTACACCATATTACACAAGAATTTGTAGAAAGTGAACATTTTCCTGATAGGTGGATAGGCCGGGGTGCGGATGCACCGATTCATTGGCCTGCTCGTAGTTGTGATCTTAATCCAATGGAGTTTACAGTATGGAGATATTTGAAATCAAAAGTGTATAACACTCCAATGAATACACTAAATGAATTAAAAGACAAAATTAAACAAGTATTTACCGATTTACAAAACGATCCAGTAATATTAAATGGATTAATGCGTTCGCTAAATAAAAGAATTAGATTATGTATTCAACAAAATGGAGGACATTTTGAGCAGTTGTTGTAAAATATTATTTTCGCCATTAATTAAATGTTAAGTATTTATTAAGTTTTCTATTAATTTGTAATATTATTGCTAACACAAGTGTCAATTCCAAAGCATACTTGATGAATATTAAGAATTGCAACGATTACAATAAAATACATGTATACCTTCGAGTTTAAATAACTAGAAAACGGTGATATCTATCGAAATATTACAAGAGCACCTTTTTTGCGTAGAAAAGTCTTAGGAAACATTTTTTAAAATATTTTTTTAAAGTATGTAAAAATTAAAAAACATGTGACGCAATAACCCCCACTTCCCTTTCAAAACTACCCTGTATTAATGTAGGATGTGGTAGGTGGTGACATAAAATTAATTATCCTAATGTCTTATAATCACTCCCCAAATATGAACTCCGTATTCAAAACCGTTTGGAAGATATTTGAAAAAATAAGAATTTCAATTCACCCCTTTAAAGGGTTGTATCTCCCTTATTATTCAGTTTTATAAAAAAAGTGTACATAGAGAAGTACCCTTATTTTTGGAACGTACTATGAGCTTTATAAATTAATGTACATAATTCTGGACCACCTTGTATATGTAACGGTGTTAGGAGTAAAGTTAGTTGATAAGAGAATACCGAACTGTAAAGTTATAAATAAATATATTTATATAAATTCGAACCGCTCGTTTTATTTAATCTCGCTACAGTTGGTGTCCGGTGTGAGATTTGAAAATAAATGCAGCAGTGATTAAAAAAAAGATAACTTTTGAACTTTTGAAAAGTATTGTTCGTCGGGAACATCCGCGTATGTCGGTAGTGATCTTTGTACGAAAGAACATTTAAAAAAAAAGTACGTGTGTGCTTGACCAAAGATGCTGCTAGTAGAACTTTCAGTGAAACAGTTGCGTGAGCAACTAGAAGAACGCGATGAAGACTGCAGCGGGTCCAAGAAGATACTCCAAGAACGACTGAAGACTGTTCTCAACAAGAATGGAGACGACCCAGAGACATTCCAGTTCCAGTCAGCAGAAGAAGCCGTCTTAACTAAAATAATTGATGGAAAATTCGAGACTGTTTCCAAAAGATTCGATGAAACGTCTCAAATGATCTAAGACACTTAAAAAAAAATGATAAGAAATTTGAAAACGTTTCGCAAATGATTGAAGAAACTTCTAACAAAATTGAAGAATCTTCTCGAAAGAATGATGAAAGATTCGATGAAACGTCTCAAATTATTAAAGAAATAGCTAGACAAAATGACGAGAAATTTGAAAATGTATCTAGAAGATTCGATGAGACTTCTCAAATAATTAAAGAAGTTTGTATTCAGAACAATGAAAATTTGAAGAAGTCTCTAAAACATTCGATAAGGTAGAAGAGAAGATCAAACAGTTAGAGAGCATGATAACTAACACGAAAGTGCTACCACCAATTAATACGGTAGCTTTAGATCCGGTAGTGAAAGAAGAATCACCTAGAGACGAAATGGCACATCATATGAGATTCAAATTGCCACCATTTGATGGAGAGTCCTCTTGGTCCATATACCTTAAACAATTTGAAGCTATTGCGACAGCCAATCATTGGACAGAACAAGAAAAGGCTGTTTCCTTGACTGCTGCTTTACGAGGTGATGCTGCAGATATCCTAAGATCGATTCCTAACGGTCAAGAAAAATGTTACCAGGCCTTGTTCACTCGACTAGACAAACGTTACGGAGATGCCCATCTACAACGAGTCTACAAAGTACAAATAAGAAGTAGAATCCAACGAGCAAGTGAGAGTTTGCAAGAATTTGAAGCAGATATTGCTCGTATAGCGCTGTTGGCCTATCCAGAGGCACCAGACAACATTTTGGAAGAAATTGCTGTAGATGCCTTCGTCAATGGGTTAAGAGACAGTGAACTGCAGAAAGCTTTACGACTAGCAAGACCGAAAGTTTTAGATGAAGCGCTCGCCATTGCCTTGGAACACGAGAGCTAGTCGAGTTTCACGGAGCTATCAAGTACGAACCTCTGAAGAGAATGACGAACGAAACGATAAACGTCTGGAGGAAATCGTACGGAAAATAGTTCGTAACATGATGCCGAAGAGACGTGAACCCAGATGTTGGAATGGTAACAACGAAGGTCACATTCGCCACAAAGTGCAAGAAAATAATACAACAGTCAGAAAGCTAGAACAGATCGAGCACGCTAGAAAAAGTCTCGCTTAATACATTGTATAATGTATCTCGAGACAATACATTCGCTATACTACCGAAGACTAGTTAATCTTACTATCTCGTTGCATCTATCAATATATTATTCTAAACTACATCGCCTGAGTATTTTGACGTAGTTGATACCGTTTTAATATTGTTTAAATCCATCTTAGTATTATATCCACGATCAATTCCTACATACTTCAACTGTCATTCTATTTTATACTTTTTGTTATTAACCATGTGCTATTTCTATTATCTAATTATTAAAAATATAGTTTTTTCAAAAACATTTATTTAATTCTTAAGTACATATTCATAAAACAGGATAACTTGCCATCAGAGCCACGCCGCACAAATTTTCATTTCTCTCCAACCTGAAGAAACCTTCTTCACCCCAACTTTTGCCCCACGAGTTCTTGATAATCCAGTAAGGTTTGTTGTTTTCTTCACCATAACCGACGACCAGGATTCCGTGATCTAAGAGATACCTTTCGCTTTTGCACTTTTTGTTGTCATAAATACCACCAGAATAGAACTGGATTGGGTCAGCGAAAATAGCTGCGGAAATTGGACCAACGGTACCTAAAATAAAAGAAGAATGTTGTTATGTGAATTGCTCTGCATACATACTAAAACTGGCAATTTTTTGATAAATGTCTTCATTGCAATACTTTAGATAATTCTTTTTTTTTTCACTTAGAAAGTTATCTTTAATTTTTAAAGTTCTTGAATTATTAATTTAAAAAATATAATATACATAACTCAGTTATTAATGGTATTATGTTAAAACACTGTTAAAAGAAAGCTAAAACTGAAAAAAAGTGGACCTTTTGCTTCTCTTCTTTACTTTTTAACACGTATTCATATACTTCAATATGGATTTAACCCAAGACAATCCAGTGATTCCGATGTTTTTATACTGTAATTTGGATTTCACCTACCCATATTTTTTTAGTATTTCTCTATTTCTTTTCGCTTGTCACTTCTTCTGTATGTCTTTCTATAAAACTATGTATTGTCAAATTATCTTACCACAACTATGTTATCTACAAAACACAAAGAAAAATACCGAGAATGATCAAAAGATAAAGAAAAGGGATAAACGAAGAGACGAACTATAAACGGAGAACTACAGACGAGACACATTTAGAAGGAAACATGGACAGACTATTTTCAGTCCTTATTTTTTAAAGATGACTATAATGTACCATCAACACTAGAAGCTATGACAAACGAAAAAATAAACATTGAGGAAGGAGAGGTAAAGAAAGTATTAAGGAAATTAACAAATAGAAAATACCAGGAGAGGACAGAGTACCGAACCAACTTTTAAAATTCGAAGAACCAGATCTGCCAAATATTTGTTACAACTAATTCAAACAATTTTTTCCAGCTAATCCAGCAAAAAAAAACTAATTCAGCTGTTTCGCCATAGTGTCTTTTCAATATACTCTGCCGAAATAGTTGTAGCGATTAGATGTTTGTTTGTAATACTCCATCTAACGTCTTTTCATTTATTTTTTAATGAATAAATATATTTCTTTAAAGTTTCTCAATTATTTCATAAACTGTGTCTCATTTTTTTTTCACCCAAATCCTTATTTTCTTTATTTTTCACTATTTTGAATTCATTATTTGTTTTTTTTTGATACCTCTTTTAATTTTGTTTTTTTTGCTATTCTACTATATTTTATCTGCTATTGCCATACCGATTTTGCCTGGTGAAATGACATATCTGTACCAGTATTTTTCAATTTTTTGAGTATACCTAGATGACCTAGTCTACTAATCTAATCAGTTGATGACTGATTAGATTAGTAGACTAGGTGAAACTGAATGAGTTGCACTCATACAGTCCTCGAAGACATACCGTCTCAGGACTAGCAACTTCAACGTGGAGTCATATGTCGCCATGTTACCTAATCCATCGGTAACTCTATAATCTTAAATCATTATAACATAATTTTAAAACTAAATGTAATTAAACATCTGTTATCGGGTTTTTACCCATATTTTTAATGTTGGTGGCTACATTCATGTACTCCTAGACACTGATGATGGAACATGGTTTCCGAAAACGTTTTGTCTTTTTAACCTAGCCCGTTTGGGCCTAAAATATATACCTATTACAAAGGATTTTTAATTAAACTATTCTTTCACTTCTTTACATACATATATTATGCCATTGTGAAGTTCTTAGAAAACTGCAAGTTTTGGTACTCAGTTCTTTCGATACATTAAGATACTACATTAACTTAGTATTTAATTATAGTCTCAACTTACCAACAGCTTGTCTTAAAGCTTCTTCATTAGGTTCTAACTCATTGTAACCTTGAATTTTAACTACAGTTTTGCTAGCGCTTCGTGTGCAATATTGTCGCGTAGCTTTGTAGGGATAGTCTGACTCGGATTCTATTCCCAGATCCCGAATGTACTTAAAAGCATTAGTCATGAGGCCACCATCATTGCAGTTGCCATCGCCGTATCCTGCAGAACAATCCAGAAGTTCTTGTTCACTGAGAGGAATTGATTCACCATTTAGGATGTAGTTTTGTCCTTCAACGGCACCAGTCTAAAAAAAAAACAGAATATGAATTGAATAACTACTCATAATGAAAAGTATCTCTCTAATGTGGTTTGTGAGTAAAATCTGTTGGATATTGAGTAGACTGTATTTTTGTGGATGCTGGTTGAATAAAAAAATCACTATGGAACTAGATGATAACTCGACTCATGCAACAAAAACTGTAGTAGCTCAATTTTTGTATATTTGGAGCTATTACTTTCGTTTGACTTATTCTCATCGAGCAAAAAGACAAAAGAGAGAATGTACAGGTAGTGGGGGTAAAAATATTGTTAGACAGGAAGTGCGATCTTTAGAGACCACATTAAACATGAAAAGAGAGTCTCTCTGCTTGTCTGACATCAAATTTAGTTGGGTTATGTTATTGTTTGTCCCAAATGTCACATGAAATCTTATTTATATTGAAGTTTTTTAACAATTGTGTCGCATTTTAGACTATTACCGTTAATAATTAATTAAAACTTTCTCGTCTAAGACACATTCTGAAAAATATTATATAGCTACTGTTAATAAGTGTCGGAAAATTTAAATTTGGCTCATTCGCATTTCCGGATATGTCCGCCATCAGAGGCCACTTTTTTGGTCTCCTGTTCATAAGGAGTAGATTCCCTCTTTTGTCTTTTTGCTCGATGCTTATTCTATACGTAGCTGTAACATAGAATATTGTGGATATTCTAGCGGTTGTATAGGCAACTTAAAATACACGATTCAGTTTTACAGTATCTCAAATAACCTACCACATTTTCAACGATAACTGCATTAAGTTTATTAATTACTATTAAACTGGGAATAAGCCACAATTAAAGATAAAAATACGTTTATTGACGTTTCAATTTCCACTTCGGAAATCGTTCTCAAAATACAAACAGTAAATTAAACAAATTTTGTTTTTTTGTTACATAGTGAAAAATTCTTCTAATAATTTTATTTTATCTGACTCATTTATATTGACAATTCAGACATACATTATGCATTTTAAAGTAGATGACTTTAAAATGATATTGCCAATATTGTTGAATTGCGCTCCTGGGACGACTTTACTTATAAGATAGTTCATTCGATTACATGAAATCAACTTTACCTTGAGAATATCCGTCAGAAAAAAAGTATAGCATGTAATTCGTCTTTAAAAAGACAAACACATGACATGATGACAGTAAAATTCTCCTGTTAGTGATTCCATAGTAAATTATGAGGGAAAAACCAGGAAAAAAACCTCATAATACTATCCCGACATTGTAAGTATTTGTTCGTGAATTTTGATGTTTGTTGAAGGTAAACTAAATTCACGAACAAATACTTGCAATGTCGGGATAGTATTATGAGGTTTTTTTCCTGGTTTTTCCCTCACAATTTACTATGGAATCACTAACAGGAGAATTTGACTGTCATCATGCCATGTGTTTGTCTTTTTAAAGACGAATTACATGCTATGATTTTTTTCTGACAGATATTCTCAAGGTAAAGTTGATTTCATGTAATCGAATGAACTATCTTATAGGTAAAGTCGTCCAAGGAGCGCAACTCAACAATATTGGCAATATCATTTTAAAGTCGTCTACTTTAAAATGCATAATGTATGTATGAATTGTCAATATAAATCAGTCAGATAAAATTAAATTATTAGAAGAATTTTTCACTATGTAACAAAAAAACAAAATTTGTTTAATTTACTGTTTGTATTTTGAGAACGATTTCCGAAGTGGAAATTGAAACGTCAATAAACGTATTTTTATCTTTAATTGTGGCTTATTCCCAGTTTAATAGTAATTAATTTACAATGCCACAAGAAAATAGCTTCAGAACAATATGCATTAAGTTTAGTTACTGTAATCTTCGCTGCATAATCATCATATTTCTTAAAAATATTTGTGGTATATTGAGTTACAACAGTTTTCTTTGCAAAATGTCTAGATAGTGCAGTTTCTACTTTACGTTCCTATTGACTTGTTTGCATTATCGTGAATAACTTTTTAAGGTTATGCGCCTACATAAATATTTGCTTGAGCTTTGCGTGAAGAGTAATTGAAGTTTAAAATATGAATAGAATTAACCATATATTGGAGTTATCTAAGACTGGATGACTGTCAGAAATACCATAAAATATAATTCAGGAGCCATATAGTTTTAACTCTTGTTTCTAATTGTTACAGAGCTGTCTTCACTAATACCCGTGAAACCCACAGGAAAGTGATTCTATCGTGATAACTGCGGTGTTGAATAAAATTCTGCAGATAAGAAATAATCTCCTTTCAAATATCATGATATCGAAAATTCCGACTGTTCTGATGAGGACTTACATTATGTTCCTACTGATGATAATGCTAAATCAGAAGGTGAAAAAACAACATAGTAGTAATAAACCTAAACTAAAAAGAAAAATGGCAATGACAAACACGAAAGGAAGAAAGCTTGCAAGAAATCAACAGAAGTGTAAAGAAAATTAGGCTAAAACAGAACTTAATGTAGGAAATAAACATGAAAATAGAGCAGGCAAAGTAATTCCATCTGGGATCATGAAAACACCATGAAACGAGAAATGCAGAAATGGATAGACGGAAAAGGTTACGGAAAATACGAGGCGAAAGATATTCGAAAATTATTGGGAACTAAATTAGAAAACTGAGTCAAGGCGTAATTTTTCCCGAGAATATAATTTTCTGCTTGATAATAAAAGAATAAAAATTTGTAAAACGATGTTTGGGAAGAAATAGGAAATGTCCTGGATAATTAATAATAAAATAGCCCTGGAAGAGTGACTGGGTTGCTACAGTCATAGGAAAAACATTTAATAATGGGTTATTAAAAAGACCCAAAACGTCTAGTTGTTCTCATATGGGAGCCATTTTAAAGAATACTAAAGAGTATCCATCACCATCTGTTAGTTTTGTGTTAGTTAAAATGCATCTGTCATCGCGCTTGGTCTCTGTACCTAAGCTACTCTGTGATTACCGTAATTCAGATAACGGTAATCTGAATTCCCTCTGAACTTTCTACAGTCTAAGTAGTTTGGAACGTATTTCACCCTTGCATTAATAAATTAAAAAAATTCAAGATAGGGTCGTAAATCACTAAAATGACGACCAAAAACATAAGCAAAAACAGAACTTAATACAAAAAGCCAGGATAATTTACCAAAAATAAGTAAAAACTGCATAAGATAGCATATATTGGTTATGTACGTAGCTTATGTACGTATTGAAGTAGATTTAAAATAAGCTAATAAAGATGATTCATAAAGATTTTTTTATACATCAGCCATCTATCTATCTAAATATCTATCAGCCACCAAAACATTAATATGAAATCAATCTAATTGGTGAACTCTGAAAACAGAGAAAAATATTTGATGAAATTGTTGGTTAAGATTTAAAAATAACTATCTTTTTATAAGAAAAAACTTACAGCACTAAAAGCCCAGCAGGATCCACAGTTTCCTTGGTCTTTCACGCCTAATACAGCACCTTTTTGCCTCCAATCAATAGAGTCTGGAACCTCAGCATTTACATCTTGTACATGAAGAGATTTCTCGATGTTCGGTATGTTCTTAGCTTGCATACCAAGCTTGGCTTTAAATTCTTCTGGCTTCATGTCAGCGAACTGGTTGACACCCATTGTATATCCTACAAGTCCCTGTTCGTATTTGGCGTTGTGTTCGTTGATGAGTTTTAAATTTGACAGGAAAACCGAAAAGCGCACTCTTTCCTCAATTGGGTTTTTGTAAACTTTGCCATGTTTGACCTGCAATAAATTAAGAATTATGGTAGGTAAAAACCTTTATTTTATTCTATTGACCATTTTTATCCAACATCTTTCCTAATTAAATAATGTTTGGGAAAGTATGTATTTTTACATTTAATATTTTTCTGTTACGGTACTGTAATGTGATCTAATTTAGTGCTGTATTCTAAAGACCTTTTTAAAATATATTATTTCCTGTTATTTCGTATAACTTAAACTGGCTGTCTCATTTAATATGTTGTAAATACGGAGAATTTGGCTCTCTTTTGTATTCTGGGTCAAAAATATACACACAAGTGCAAGGTTTTGTATTACCGTGTCAATTAACTTGAATTATCGCCACTCAAAGTCGCAATATAACAGACTGATTTATTGAAACACCCTCTTGGACCACCACGTAACGCTTAGAGGGATACTTAGTTCTGACCATAGCCTCGGCGACGCTAGCGTCGGTACCGCGATCAACTCTTCATTCCTGCGTTACGAATACATCAATAGAACCAAAGGGAAGTCTATGTTCTTTGTACAAACAACGATAATGAGTAAACCAGTTAATTTCATAATTTATTTACAATTGATAGTTACTTTTTCGTTAATTTTATGTACAAACAAATATTGAATTTTTTTATAATTATTTATCCAATATCATTTAATTAGCTACCTTTTAAGTTTAATCCTAAACAAATAATATAAATATATTTTTTTCAGCTTGAACTGTTATTTCTATCGCCAACTAATTATGATTTTTGAGGATAATTTGCAATATTTACTTTGCCTGTGAGTAAATGTCTTATTACTAAGTAAAGCCAGATTCACTGTCTTTTAAAAAGTGTCGCTAGTGGGCAAAATTCGAATTAACGATACCAGAGTTTGACACTTTTAGCTCTGCGCCAATGAAGCGTTCAAATGCATTAAAATATAGATAAAACTCAATATTTCTTTGACTTACCTTGAAGTTCTCCCAATGCTCGTTAACTGATAAAGCACTGACGCTCAAAATGAAGGCTGTGAATGCGATTAATATTTTCATTTTAATTAATCTAAAACAAAAAACAGTTTTAGTAAATCCAATGTGATAGAAAGATTATATATATATATATATATATATATATATATATATATATATTATATATATATATATATATGTTCGGATAGATTTCCGCGGTCAGATGAATGAAAATCACTAGGTTCTCGGGAAGAACCGCGTTGAGAATTTAATGCTCGACGTTTCGGTTTCCATTTTGGAGACGTTATTAAGAGGGATACGGTTCGGTTCGAGTTCGGGGTCTCAATCTGCCTACTCCCCTCACTCGAAACGTACCAGTATCGTGTTCTGTATTATAAATACAAGAACTGTCTTTCGGCACTGAGGTCTCAATCTGCCTACTCCTCATCCTTCACTCGACACTGTATATTATATATATATATATATATATATATATATATATATATATATATATATATATATACATATATACACTCACCGGCAAAATTAACGGAATACCTTACAATTGGGACATGTTAGATGTCTCGAATTTCCTAAACCTGTTGTCCGATTTTAGTGATTTTTTTTAGTATGTTATAGGTATATTATTTAAGAATATTGATGTAATAATATTATTGCTAGACAGGTCAATGTCATTTTATACCGGGTGTAACAATCTTACTGTGTTTTTTCCTTAAAGTTCGGAACACCCTGTGGAATATTCTAGCATATATATAAAATATTGAAATTAAAACTTAATTATAGCCTCAGGCTTTCTTAACATTTTCTTTTTTGATTCATTTGCTTATGTTTGATAATAAAAAAGTTAGGTACGTTAACAATTAGCCATGTTTTTCATCAATAAATCCTCATTTTCTGCTTAGTTTAAAAACAAGCCTAAAGTAGGCTATGAGAAGTTAACAATTTAATGCACACACCGGCAAATTTAAAGGAACCTGTTATTAATGCAATATTTCTTTACATTTGTATTTTATAGGCTATATCTACATAGCTTTGAAAGCTCCTTGTCACAAAAAAGTCTTAAATGTCAAAATGTCAAATTAGTTTGTTTATTTGTATTGTGTTTAATATTTTACAGTCATTCTGTCTGTTCATAACAAGTACAAACTTGTATTTAATTGAGCGTACAATAAGAAAGAGACTTAAAGAAGCCGGTCTCAAGTCATATGTGCCAATAAAAGCTCCCAGACTCCAGGACACCATCGTTTAGCACGACTACAATTTAGTCGAGTACATCAAAATTGGAATGATAACCACTGGAGTCAAATTCTCTTTACGGACAAGAGCCGTTTCTGTGTAAATTACATCGACGGTAGAGAAAGATTGTATTAACGCCAAGGAGAACGAAATGCCCCTTTCAATTTTACTACGACCGTACCTTTTGGTGGAGGTTCAATTATGGTGTGGGGCGGTATATGTTTGGGAGCAATAACAGAGTTAGTGGTGATTGATGGTGGAGCAATAACAGCAGATAAGTATATCAGAGATATTCTCCAAGACCATGTGGTACCTTTTTCACCATATATTGGCGAAAATTTTATTTTATAGTGTAAGAGTGTAAGTGTAAGATATTTCTTATTACAAGTGGATATAACAACGATGACTTGGCCAGCTTATTCCCCAGACCTAAAGCCGATAGAGGATATGTGGAACATGCTAGGCAGAAAACTTAGGGCACGGGTTCCTGCTATTCAAAACAGAGGAGAAGTCACAATTGCAAAAGATTGAAGAATGGGAGAGGCTGCCCAACAACTGATCGATAGCGTTATCAGTAGTATGAGAAGACGAAGAACTGCAGTTGTAAGGGCTCGTAGGAGAAACACACGCTATTAAAGCCAAAAAAATGCATAAAAAAACAATTTAAGTTCAAACTGTACAATAAAGTTAATGCATTTAAAATCCGTATTTTGTTGAGTCTGACATCTTTGTGTTTTATTTCTTTTTAAACAGGTTTTATATTGTGCTACCATTGTAATATAAATTCAAAATACTTCACCAACATTCGTATTATGATATTATCTAAACAGTATATAGACTAGAGAGAAAATACTCAGATTTTATGGTTGTTCCTTTAAATATGCTGGTGAAACTAAGAAGAAAATGAGCATTTATTGATGAAAAACATGGCTAGTTGTTAACGTACCTAACTTTTTTATTATCCAACATAAGCAAATGAATCAAAAAAGAAAATGTTAAGAAAGCCTGAGACTATAATTGAGCTTTAATTTCAATATTTTATATATGCTAGAATATTCCACAGGGTGTTCCGAACTTTAAGGAAAAAACACAGTATGATTGTTACACCCGGTATAAAATGAAATTGACCTGTCTAGCAACAATATTATTTCATTGATATTCTTAAATAATATACCTATAACATACTAAAAAAATCACTAAAATCGGACAACCGGTTTAGGAAATTCGAGTCATCTAACATGTCCCATTTTTAAGGTGTTCCGTTAATTTTGCCGGTGATATATATATATATATATATATATAGTATATATATATATATATATATATATATATATATATATCTTCTCGATAAAAATTATTGATGAAACTTTATTAAATGATATAAGATCTGTATCACATTATTTGTTTGATAGATAATAATCTTTTTAGTAAATAGCTTATATTTCAGTAACGAGACATAAAGTAGATTAAGTCCCTTATTTATTAGAAAAATCTATTCTCTTCTCTGTCGTAAACACATTTGTCATAAATAAAAAAAATCACTAGAGCGTTCCAAATCTTTTATCATATTTTACATTTTACATAATGCTGTAAAGGAGCTAAAAGAAATAATAGCAACGATAAAGAATCTACAATTCAGAAAATACATAAAACAACTATCTTAGATACAACTGAACAAACAAACTACTTCCTATAGAAGGCTACTCGAAAATTAAAAAACTCTAATACAATATACCACCATCAAAAAAAGAGTAAGCGGTTGGATAAACACACCAAAAGAAAAAGCAATTAAATTAGTTTACATAATTTTACATAATTTTAGATAATTTTATTTAATTGTATTTAATTTTATTTACGTTTATTTAATTTTATTTACGGTTATTTAATTTTATTTACGTTAATTTAACTTTATTGAATTTTATTTTATTTTATTTAAATATTTTAAAATCAATATTAGCCAAGTCGTTCTCCAGTTTTTATAAAAAATATATTATATAAAATTATAGTGTATTTATGTGATTATTGTATGTATATTACGGTATATCGCAAGGTAACCACATCTGTCTCGAATTTTCGAGTCACGCTTAATAAGATTTCGAGACTGTGCAAAACTTTATACCGAGCGATAAGAAGTATTTACTTCTAAATTAACTTTTAAAGAAATTAAATCCCGTTGGAATTAAAATAAAATGATACAGGGGGACAGAAACCTGTCCAAATTGAAATGCATCTTTGGAAGACGCCTTCTGCAGTGGTGAAAAACAACTAATGGTTTTAAAATTTTTGTTTAGCTACAATCATTCTTAACAATGAACAGAAAAATTATGACCATCAATATAACAGCCTTTTTTAAACGTCCCAATGCCTTCGTGGAGATCTCTGAATATAGAAATACCTACTGTAGGTACATACTAATGGATATAATATTAACAAAAATACAAAATACAAATATATAAAGCAACATAAACTATATATTAATTTAAAGTATATATTTTGCAAGTATTACTTACTTTAAAGAACAACAAACTGATAAGATGGTAACTACAAAAATTGTGGATTATTTATAGGTACTTCAATTGATATCTTCTTTGCACTGTGTAAAAGTCAAAAACAGGCGGACAATACCACCACTTAAGATTTTGGAAATGATATTAATCAAATTTCTACTAAAATCGATATAAAATCAGTGAGATAAGTAGAGTACAGAATTGTATGATTACTTTCTGTTTCTATGTGTCTTATATCTCACATATACACCGTAACTTTTATTTAAGTCCATTTCGCATTTCCCATCAATAAAAAAGCTTACTCTACATTTCGTCTCCTTGTTTGTTAAAGCTCAATAATAAATATAGATACATTTATAACTTTTATTGAATTTCTATGAATAAAAGGCAACGCTTTTTACTTAGAGTTGGTACAGTATAAATCCCGATGTACGTCATTATCTACGTCAGAAATCCAAGTTGACATTGTTGCCAAATTATAAAAAAAAGTCCTGAGTTTATTATAAATCAAATATATGACATAATTAGAGAAAAAGTGGATTATACAACTAAACAAATTTATTATTATTGTAATGTAAACGTAGCAAGAAAATTAAGAATAAAAAAAATACGGGCTAGTAGCATAAGGGAAAATAATAATCATTTTAGTAATTATTGTATATTCCAAATTAAATAAAGAATAAATTCGATACAGTAACGTATACATTTTAAATTATACAAAGAAAAACAATTCGACCCAGTTAGTTGCATGACACGAGCCAATATCAGTTGCAACTGCACGCGCGAATGTTATATTTCGACGGAATATAGTTCCGTATAAGTGTCGGGTACTAGGAGTTCGAAAATTGCGACAGAGCGCGCTACCTTTACAACTGAATTCAATTTCCAGAGGAACTGAAGGGCGTATCATTGGCTAGAGCCTAAATACGCGAAAGGTAACAAAATTCTATATACTAACCCGAGTAAATTATAGTAGTACAGATTGTCACCCCTTTACTTTCTTGCTAAGATCTCTTCTCGTCTGCCTTCGCGCCGAACGAGTTATTATTGATTATATCTGACAGCTTGTTAACTTAATTGTAAACCACATAGTATATTTCAATACATTTGTAGACTCTAAAATTGGTTTATATGTTCCTTCCGACCGATTCAGATAGAGACCAGAAGAGTACAAAATTTCTGCTTTTGCATATCTCCCGCTTCTAAAGTAAGTCCATAGACTCAACTCTTTACAGGACATGAGACCTAGAAGTCCTTAACCCCTATCCCGGAAAGTCCCTACCTTCTCGTAAAGCCACGAAGGCGAACCAGCTAGTTCAG